AAGATACATTTACATTTAGTCATTTAGCAGACGCTTTTATCCAAAGCGGCTTAGATAAACTAGCGACTTAGATAAACTATTTTATTTATAGACAGATCATCTAAATTAGATTTATATGTATATATACATATATATATATATATTTTTTAATAAGTTTATAATAATTAAAAATATATATATATGAATAATATAATACATAGGTAAATATTTATATTAGATTAGATTATATTAGATATTATATAAGGTTCTTATTTATTTATAACATATTCTTATTTATTTATATTCTTATCCAGTTATATATTTAGATAGTCAGTTACCCATTGTGACCCATTCTTAATATGGAGAGGATATTACAGTATCTCTGTTGGTGTGTGAGTGTGTACAGAATACGTTGTTAAAGTTCTTCTGGTACCAGGATTCTCCGTTGCTAAATTATTCCAAAGTCAACCTGGACCTTTCAAAACGGCCCCATTCCATGTCTGCATGTTCTTCTCCTCCTCTCTCCGCTATATAATGAAGCTCTGTGTGTATCAGTGGTTTTTGAACGCACATCAGACAGCGGCGCACATACAGCTCCATATGTACTGGCTCTCTCCTCCAAACCACATCATATTTACAGTCTAATGAGAACTGCAGTCAGGCAGCCCTGCTGTCAGACCCCAGCCAAGAGTATGCACGAGTGACTGCTCCAAACAAGAAAAGAATCCCTTTCACTCTACCATTGTACACTCATTTTTTTGATTGCATGGAGAATGAGCAAAGGCATTTTCTCAGAATTATTGGAACCAGGTGCGCCTTCATGTGGTTTAGAGGATCTCATCATTGGTTCTAAAAACAGTGTGGCAAGATTGTGTTTTAACCCCTTACCTGTCAATCAAAATGTTCTGCCCTCATCAGGTTTAAAACAGGACTGTCAGTGTAGCACATTAATTACAGTTAATTAGTAATAATAAGTATAAAACAATAATATAATATTCAATATATTAATACATTAATTACTTTTATTATACATGTAAATAAGTTAATATTAATTAGTAAATATTAATTAGTTGAATTCTAATATATATAATTTATTTTCTTAAAGAAATTAATAGTGTTATTCAGCAAGGACACATTTAATTGATCAAAAGACAAAGTTGTTTATAATGTTACATAGGCTTCTATTTCAAATAAATGCTGTTCTTCAAATTTCTATTCATCAAAGAATCCTGAAAAAATTATTTATGGAAATGTATCATGATTTCCACAAAGATATGAACAGGAAAAAACAGTTTTCAATATAGATAATAATAAGAACCATTAAAAAATGAGTATCAATAATTACGGAGCATCAAATCAGCATATTAGAATGATTTCTGAAGGATCATATGACACTGAAGACTGGAGTAATAGCTGCTGAAAATTCAGCTTGACAGGAATAAATTAATTTTTTTAATATATATAGAAAACAGTTATTTTAAACTGTAATAATATTTCACAATTTTACTGTATTTCTAATCAGATAAATGCAGCCTTATTTAAATTATACTTATTTAAAAAATATGTTAATATTGCAAACGTTTTAATTGGTTCAAACAAATTAAAAAAATGAATATATGAAAATATTTTATATTTTAAATATAAATATTATATATTTATTATAAGTTTAATTTAATTTCATTGATTCAATTTCATCGCTTTGAGAGAGAGACCTGCATATTGTTGAAATACATTTTGTGGTCATGATTCATAATCAGCCACTGTAAAGTTCAAATTGAGCACTTTGTGCAAACGAAACGGTCCATAGCAAGTACAGAGATGAAAACTGTATTGTTTTGTGTTTGCGATAAAACTTTTTGGCACAAGAACTCACATATGCATGAGCCACGGACAATTAGCCTACCGGGTAGTCGAGGAAACAATGTTGCTTTAACGATAACGATTCCAGACATTCCTGCAATTATCAAAAAGGCATATAAAGAAGTCTTGCTGATTGCCCAACCAGATAGCACAGCTCCAGCCAACAGGTTGGATGCATTTGAATGAATTTCAATTTAAAACGAGTTCATACATAGATGGACCTCTGAGATACAATCCAGTCCTGTTTAAGTGTTGGTTGATGAATCCAAAGACTCGAGGAATATGTTGTCAGAATCACCTGTACTTGAAAATTTGCATGACTCATACTTGCGGTTATGGATATTGAATATATATATATATATAGCTATAACCACATAGAATTCATCACAATATCAGAGCATCAACAAAACAGTTAATCATTAAGGTCACTTCAGTGCATAAAATGATAAAAAGGTATTTATTATTTTGACCCATTTTTCAACTTGGACACCAAATTACATAACGCAATTAATCCTGGATCATTTCTGTCATGCTGTCATGTCATATTGTTGGAGAGCAGCAATGCTGCTGCTTTTTTTTTTTAACAGTTCAGTGCTCAACAGGCGTGTGAGTGAATGCAAATTATTATTTTGTGTCCTTTTGAATATGGTTTTAACTTCCTTCTGTTTATTTGCCTTGGGGCTGAAATTTTAGGGGAATTCTGAATTGAAAGCCTATTTAAAGAGTGCCTGCCTGCCTGACTGTGTGTGTCAGTTTACCACTCATGTGTGTCTGTACTGTTGTTATGTTGTCATGTCACCTGCCCCCTTGCCTAACCACATCTTAAAGTGGCCACACAGCTGCTGTGAGCTTCAGTCAGTTTGTCCAACTATCGGCTTTCTGTGGTGCTTTTACCGTCAGTCACCACTGGCTGGATGGGAACTGCAACAGAAGGGTATCTGTGGGCTTTCTATACTGTATATTGAAAACTTTTTTTTTTTTACAGGTGGGGCGGTACTGCCTAGATCCATGGATGATACTGTCTACTCTAACATAGGGTTGATACTGTTATGATCTATGTAGAGGTTGTACAGTCTAGATCTACATGCTTCTGCTCATGGAGGGCCGATGTCCTTCAGAATTTAGCTCCAACCTGCCCCAACAAACTTGCCTGGAAGTTTCTGGTGATCCTGAAGACCTTGATTAGCTGGTTCAGGTGTGTCTGATTAGGACTAGAACTAAACTCTGCAAAAAAGTGGACCTACAGGTGCAGGATTCATCAGACGTTTCATCAGCTGAACAATCGTATGTTGTTAAATATGCTACTACAAGTTAAATATGGCACTAACCTAACTGGAGTCTATACATTTTAGATCTTTGGCTAATTATCTCTGTTGTGATAAAAACTAGGAAAAGACATGAGAATTGAGTCCTAAAACCAAGAAATGCGCTCTTGCCAACTATTCTAACTCCAATTTCAGAGAAAATGTTGTCTGAAGCTTAATAGTTGTGACGTTGAAGTCGTGCAACCATGATGTTGTTCATATCTTGAAGAACAAAACATGTAAGAATCATAAACTTTTGTTTGTCACAGAACTTTTTTTTCTAAAATAACCAAGAAACCAGTAGAAAAATATTTTGTGGGTTTTTGTTGAGGGAACCAGGGTGATGGTAATGTCTGGGTTGGCTTATAAAAATATGCCATCACCTTAACACACTGTGTTGGGTTTCCATGGATGTTGAAGGTTCTTCATGGAATCATCAATGCCAATAAAGAACCTATATTTTTGAGAATGTAGGTAGCTGATTGTCCCTTTTGTGATGGAGTCTACAGATCCTTTTTTGGCATCAGTGATTCCATGAAGAACCTTCAACATCAAAATTTTTTTTGGCATCAACTATGGTTTTGTGAAAAATCTTTAGCATCCATGGAACATTTCCATTGCACAAACGTAGACGTAGGTTATTTAGAGTATTAAAATGTTCTTTACACTAAGAAAAAATGTTTCTTTTAAGAACTGTTCAAAGAAAAATTCTTTGTGGAAGCCAGAATGGTTCCTCTATAACAGTGTTTCTCAACCCTGATCCTGGGTGCCCCCCAGCACTGCACATTTTGTGTGTCTCCCTAATCAAACACACCTGATTCAACTCATTAGCTCATTAAAAGAAACTCCAGGACCTGAAATGGGTGTGTCAGATAAGGGAGACATACAAAATGTGCAGTGTTGGGGGGCGCCCAGGACCAGGGTTGAGAAACACTGCTCTATAACATTGCTGTAAAAACCCCTTTCTGGAACCTTTATTTTTAAGAGTGTAGATCCTGACAGCTGGTGATGTCACGATTGATGCAATTGAGATCTAGATAGTTAATGATCCTCATTGTGATGCAGTCTACATCTGGATAGCTCTAGACAATTTAGATCCAAATAGCTGGCCATTCCCATTGTGATACAATTTAGACCTAGATTGATGCATTGCTGGTGCTTTCATGAATTTTACAGTATGGATCTTGACAGCTGTGATTCACATTGCAATAAAATGTTGGTAATTTCACGAGTGATCAATCTAGATCCATACAGCTTGTGATGTTGACTATATCTAGACAGCTAGAGATCTTATGAGCATTACAATCTAGATCTATAGCTGGTGATCCTATGACGTACAATGCGCTGCAGTCCTATGGGGAAGGGAAGGCTATTTTGGTGAAGACTACAATTGTCTATAGAAGAAGAATGTGAGGGGAAGTGGGGCAGAGGGATTGACACTTTCTGAAGGTCCTTCAGACAATATGTTCTATGAGGCAGCTGTTATGCAACTAAATGTGCTGTTTCATAAATGTGCCCCCCAAAATATCTAATATCAAATCACCATGAGGTATTCGAGTGTAGATTAAGAAAATAATGCTCAAAGAGCTATATTATTTCTGTCAACGGGAACTCAGTAGACACAGAATTTAGTATTCAACAGTGATATTTGCTTCATAGTTGGCTGGCATTTTGGGAGCTGCACATCAAAATAGATTAGAACTATAGTGATGTCACACCACACTGACAATGAACAAAGAACATTCGTGAAGTTCTTCACAATGAGAAGGTTTCACTGGATACCCTGTGGCTTCATTGAGTGAGCAGGTGGATTCCGTGTCTACAATAGATGGATGCCCTCAGTGAACATCCCCGCCATTATTTCTTGAGCTCACAAAGGTTATTTATGGCCACAGACACATTAATTAGCCCTATTGTCACAAGAAAACAGCTTTGTCTTCTCACACTTGCTTTTCCTTTTCACTTTCTAAAGGTGGTGAGTTAAAAGTCTCAGCCAGTCGCAATGCAAGTCGCTCTCATACCGCAAGGCCTTGCAGAGATATGAGGGGATTTCATGCTGTTATGAGAAACTTTAGTTCTTGTTTATATATGGCTGTCAGTTCTCAACATAAGCGAGGGTCTCTTCTAAGACTATGCATCTTCTAAGGATGACAAAAAGACAACAATCCCATCAAAAATGACTTTTTAGCAATAGTTTTGCCAGGTGTTCTGTCATGGGTTCCTGTAATCCCATTTGGCAGAACTATTTTATAGTTAAATAGATGTGCAAACATACACATCTCAGCACAACACCCACATTATGAAATTGTCTTAATTATGAGAGGCTATAAATAAGCTTAAAGCTCATAGATCTACACAAGCTTGGGTGCCAACATGCACGCCCACACATTCTACAGTTCAATGAGTGCATCAGTACAGATACATGGACTTCCTGTATGCAATGAGCTTTCAGTTTTTGAGTTTACATATCTTTAGAGAAATTCTGTTGACCAAAATATAATCGGGGCTTGATAATAAGGATGGCCCGATGCTCTTAGGCCAGTTTGAGAGAGTTTGGGCTATTTGAAGGAATGATCACTTGACCTGGTGGGCCAGTGACACATTGTCCCTTCATCTTATGTTTGTTGATTATGTAAATGTATTTTGTTTTTCTGGGATGTATTGAACAGTACTGTTGTAAGTTCTGTTAAATTAAATTGTCTAGCATAGATGTTTAGTTGAAATTGTAGGAAGGCATAGTTAAAATGGGATAAAAATCACCTCTTTTTTTTTTTTTGCACAGTATGGAATTTTATAGCAAATAATTGTATTATTATTATTTAAAAATATTATGTTACTTATAGACAACTATATTTATTATTTTATTCTTTAAAAACTTCATTACTATATAGTATTATTATTATTATATTAATAATATATTATTATGTATAATGTTTATGTTCCAGTAAAGACTGCTATTGTTATATATAATATTTTTGTTATTATTAATATTGAATAAAATAAAATAATAATAATTATTATTCCTTTATTATTTTTATATTTATATTATTGTACTTAAAATAACATTTAAAAATAACAATAGTAATATAATAATAATAATAATAATAACTATTATTATTTAAACATTATGTACAATAATAGAAAACAATTGTGGTGAGGCCAGTAAAAATATTGGCAGGGCAAATAAAACCTGAACTACTGGCTCAGCCGGACTGGCGTGGGGAAAAATGTTTTTTACTGAAATTGATTTCCCTGATAAATTAAGACTCATCATGGAGCCGAGTCATGCCAGAGGAAAAATTAATGCTTCTGAATCAGATGACAGCACTGTATAAGGTGTGTTCACCCCTGTCTTGGGGTTAATGTGCATCGCCCTCTAGTGGATGGAGGACTTTGTGATGGTTTTCTTGAGCGTTTGTGAGAGTGGGCCATCTTTCCAATGACAATTTACAACTAACAATCACATTCTTCCTGCAACCACACTCAAATTGTTGAGAAATGAGTCCCATTCACCATGATTAACTTCATTTTAGTCCCAGACAGCAGTGATTTGTTGAACAAGGATTATATTTTGCCATCAGGAAAAAAAGATAAAGCAAATGCTGACTGTGAGAGAATGATCTATGTTTCCAGGTTTGGACAAGTATGAGGAACAAAAATGGATAGGGCAGTTCCTACGGGAAATGCAAACAGTCACTTGACATTTCGAAACAAATGCTAACTGTTGCTGCTGAAGCACCGTTCCAGGAGACGCAGAGCCGAGCTGGGTTCTGTCAGACGAGAGAAGGAACAAGAGAACAAGAGAGAGATGAACAGAGAAAGAGTGAGAGAAAACATGAGGGAGCGCCATGCGGTTGGATGGTATTCTTGGGAAAGTTTGCAGCTCTTGCAGTATCTGGAGCTCAGCTGGGGACAAATACCACATGGAAACGAGAGGAAGCCTGCAGAAGTAGAGAGGGCCTTCTGGAGGAATGTTTCACTTCAAATGGAAAATGTTTGCAGCTGTTCGCCAACGTTTAATGTTGTGTATATATGGTATCCCCTATGATTCTGAACAAACAGATTCTTCTGTTGTCACCTGGGCTTTTTAGGGCATCATGGTTTGGGTCGTTATTGCATAGAAGGTGTATTGTTTCGAAGGTGCTTACCAGCTAGAGTGAACTTCTTTTTTCAAGTTTTTCAAGCTCCAGAAACAAACTCCAAACAAACAATATTTTGGCCTGATTTTGTTTGAAATGACATCACCCCAGATCATTCTTCAATTTCGCTTGAAGTATAATGGGGCCGTCACAGTACCCTTTAATGCAAGTCAGTCACTTTGCAAGTATCTTGGTAATCGTAATTACAAATAGGAAACTCTGAATTTTCTTAGATCCCCGAGTTTCTGATTTGGGTCAGTGCAAAAATATAGTATGCAATGGATGCAATGTCCATAGCTGATAGTAAAATTATTGGAATGCATGACGTTTTTTTTTTCAAATTGCTTGCCCAAAATATTACATATATAATATTATTATATATATATAATAGTAGAATCTTCTTTTGCATTCCACTGAACAAAGAAAGTCACACAGGTTTGGAACCATCGGAGGATGTGTGAACTGTGACTGAATTTGATGGTTTGATGGTCAGAATTTCTGTAGGCGAAATTAAGTCATTTGAATAGGAATTGCCGTGATCGCCAATTTCACCTGAGGGAGAAAGAATTTCCCACGCAGATTTTGCAAGTTGGTCAC